GAAGAACCCGTCCAGAAGACCTATACAATTTTTTTCTTTTTGATTTTACAGATATTGAGAGACATTTTGAAGTACAGCCAGAGTCTTTGTCTTAAATTGTATTAAAGCTGAATTTAAAAAAAAAGAAAATTGTTCTTTTTGTAATTATCATCATGTGGATATCAACAATGACTACAGAGGGATTTTGTTTCAGCATTTTATAAATCAATTAACTACTAAGATCAAGTTAAAGCAAATTAGCTTTTGCAGTTTTCTTTATTACGAATTCACAATGGATGTTTTCAGAAAGGCAGTTCCTAGCCGTCGCAGCTGCAGGACACAGACRGAGGACTAAGATTGGCAGCAGTGTGGTGACAGAAGCCAACATAAGGATTTGTGTTAATGCAGAGCTGAAATCTGAACTCCATATGTCACAGAGGAAGCAGCACAGACACAAATGTCCTATTCATTAAGATTCAAAGCCCAACAGAGTGGAATCACTGAACTGGGGAAAAAAAAACACAGAAACTCTTAACAAGAACCTGCTTTCTGTGTTCAACACAAACACTTTACGATTTCCCAACTTGGGCTATTTCTGTTTAAATTTCACAAAAAACAAGTTCAACCTAATGACTCAAGCAGAGGCAGGTCATAAAATTTGCCAGTTTACAGAGCGTCAGGTGACCTGTTCTTGTAGGCAAACATTCACCTACAGACACATTTATGATGGAGGTTACGTCAACCAAATTAAAGATTAGTAAGAAAACTAAAGGAGGAAATTACAGATGAGCAGGTACAGAAAATGTTTTGTCTCTTTCAGATGAGAAAAAAAACAGCAAGCAGAAGCCAAGATAATTATAAACCTGAATATTTTAAAAACCTAAATGAGTCAACAGCAAYGCAACAAATTAACTATTAACTTTCCATCACATGGCCTGCTTCAGCTGCTACCTGTCCTCTCCTGAGCTGAAGCAGCTGGGTGACAGGACGAGCCTTACASAAGTTTGTAACTATGAAAATATTTAGTTTATTATTTCACAGTCATAAAAACAAATACCTCAGGTTATAACAGGATCTAAGCCTCRGCTTCATGGAAAAACAAGTTTAAATGGAAATTATGCTCAGGCTGCATTATGTTTTTAGCTTTGTTTCTGCTAATTTTAGCTTTCAGCTACAGCTTTGCTATATTAAGCTTTTAACTATATTTTGATAATTTTAGTTTTCAGCTAAGCTTTTGACTACTTTTATATTTTAGCTACAGTTTTGCTTACTTAAGCTTCATTCAGTGTTCTCACTTCATTCTTACAGAAAAAGGTTTTTTCTCTATATTTGTGTCACACCTGAACAATTTGTTCAAACCTATGATGACTTCAATCTGACCCACAGATCCTGTAAAATAAATTAAAAGAAAAGATGCTGATTTAATAGCTTGTAATACTGCAATAATTGAACTGATTTAAAAGAAAAACATTGATAAATAAAAATGAAAGCTAAACAGTTCACCTGCTAGCTTATTATTGGGAAGTCTCAACGCTTTGGGTGGGAAAAATGAATATATAAATAAAAATCACTTTACTGTAGAAACACTTTACATTTTTATTTTATTCTATATTTTCTGGTGCAAACTTTAAACTTCCATAATGTTCCAGTGAATATGGAGAATTACTCCATCCTGAGTTATGTCATCATTTTGGATGTAATATTCCTTTAATTCACTGGTTTTAAATGTGTCAAGTGGTTGGAGTAAAAAGTAGTAAAAACATGTTTTATCACAAACTTTAAGAAAAACAAGCATTTTCCCCAAAAAGTGGGAAAAAAGTAGTTTCATTTAAGCAGAATTGACGTTGAGAAACTAACATTTCCTGACATTATTACTCACCGCTTTCAGCTGCTCCAATCGGTCCTTCATTATCAGGCGTGTAATTTAAACGCTTAAACACCACARTTTTTGAGGCAAGATGGCCGGAAAGCTGTTCAAATTGCGGACACTTCTTCAGCCAGTTTGTAAGCTAGCTGTTCAACAGAAAACCAGCAACAGGACAGAAAACTGCTCTCCCAAAAGTCTTGGCAGAAAGTGTCTTGAGAAGTCAAGTTTTTTTCTGAAAAGTGGAGTCTTTCCGTCGATTTTCCATACAATATGGCTGCTGGGTTTAAAGGCAGTGGTTTTTCTTTGCTAAATCTCCTCTCCCGGAGGATTAAAACAACAGTTGTGTGGAGCCGTTTAATCTGTCCCTCAGCGAGCCGACAGTAATCATTCTAAAACGCACTTTTCTGGTTCACGCATGCGCACAGGAGTCCCCGGTGCCCTGTGGATGAAGCCACGCCCTGAACCACCTGCACTGCTGGTGCATTCAAGTTCTGTAGGAATATTGAGACATTCATGTGTAGTTTAAAACTCAAACATTTTATTCTTGTTGTTAGCTATTAAAACCATGGCATCCTATACCCCAGCAGCACTCCCACAGAACAGACCACACCACACACAGTGACAAAAAAAATCCAACTCTCGTGACTCCCTCAATAATCTCGTAATGGTGAAGATCCTCATCAAGAATATAAACGTTGTGACAGTAAAGTCAGARACAAAAACTATAGTGGATCATACTTGTCCAAAATATTTTTCATCAGTGTACTTTTTTTACTTGGCTATCTAAAGAGATACTAAGTTACTAAGATACTAAGTTTTCGTTTTTTTTTTTTTTGTGACATTCCATTAATGCAGCACATGGGTTTTTTTTATATCAAAGTGTCAAAAAACAAAACATTTTTTATTATTCTAATGGAGTTACATTTATACAGAGCAAATAATCAGACTAGACTCTATAAGCCAACTTTAAAAAGCCTCACTGATATAAAACTAAATGAAAAGTTATTAAAATGTTTTTAACTAACGTTACAACTTCGATAAACAAATATTTATTTGCGGCTAAATCGACATCAGTTTGTCGTGTTTTGCCCAGATTAATAAGAGTATGATGTGAAACTATGCTGAAATAGTCTGAACCGTAATCCGTCCTTGGCGTCTGATAAATGATGCAGGACCAACATCCGTGTAGGTACCACAAAAACAGCTACGTCACACCCAGTTCACGTATTACGTAAGCCCGTAAAGTAAAAACAAAGACGCGACTGACATCTAGTGGACAGCAAATGTATTACATCCACCTATAAGCGCCACGGAAGACTTGGCAAATCAATACTGACATTCATTATGGGACAGGTGTCTTTACAAATACGTTTTACACAAAAATAAACGTTTGTAATTTATTCCTTTAGTCATACTATAGTTTTTAATACATTTAAATTTTTCTGCAATGACATTTTAATAGATTTTTGGCTTGTTTAAGCCCGTCTTAGAATGAATTTAAACATGTATATACAAGCAGGAGCAAATCTTAGAGCTTGCAGGCAAGTTGCACAAGTGACGAAACCAAGTCAGTATTATACAAACGCCAACAGAAGTTGTTTTGTACCAGTGAATGCTGATTGTTCACACCAAGTTTTTTAACCTGGAGTCTCAACTTTCAACAATTTTCTTTTTCAGCTCTAGCTTCGTGCCGTAGTGTCACGAACCAGATCTCAAAAAAATGTTTTTGTACACGTTTCAAGGGGAGCTCAAATTGAACATTTTATTTGTCCATCAAACACAATGAAAATGTAAACAGCAGATAACGTAACATTATTAAACCACACCAGGATTTCTAACGTTTAAAGGAGCTTAGGATTCCTGGTTAAAGCATCACTGGTAAGAATTGAAATTAAAGCTCTCTGAAATACATTTAGTTTAAGACTTTTACAACTGAAATTGTGTTAAAAAATAATAAAATAAAAAACTAAAGTTAATCTTTAGTTGATTTTCACTCAACTTTAACAGATCTTTGTTCTGCAATTACTGAGACAGGACTAACATTTTATATTGAGAATGTTTTTATTCAAAGTTTATTCCCCTTAGTGCTTCCAGTACAACAGCATTATGTGAGCAGGATATGTGCGGCGAAGGGTGTTTGACGACATAAAGAGCGGCATGTTACCACGCCAGCAACAACAACACGGGTGGCCAGGTGTCAGACAGTAAAATCAGAACTACTTTTGCACTAAGTTTTTTTTTTTTCTGTCCTTAATTTGAAAACAAAAAAAATTCAAATATAACAAAAATTCTGAAAAGGGATTTTACAGTAAGGGGAGGCGCGAGGACAAAACTCCAACAACTTTCTGTCCACAGTTGGGGGAGGGGAGGGTGGGAGCCAGGAGACAGGTTAGAGGTCATCTTCTTCATCTGGGAGTGCTGTCTGTGATGCAACCTGGAAAACAAAACAAAATCCATTCATCTTTTGCCAAAACACCACCACCTGTGTTTTGAGTCTAAGTGATCAGGAATTGAATATTAAATTGTGTTTTTACTCACTTGAAGCTCTTCCTCATACTTAGCAGCAAGTGAGGGGTCCATCTGGACCTCGGGGGGAGCGAGAGCTGGCATGGCCACAAACTCCAGGTTGGGATCACCGATCAACTTCCTCGCTAACCACAGGAAGGGCTTCTCAAAGTTGTAGTTACTTTTGGCAGAAATGTCGTAGTACTGAATGGGACAGAGACGCCAGATTTCAGCACCTGCAGTTTTCATCACCACTGAAGGATCTGGGAGCAGCCCTTACCTGCAGGTTCTTCTTGCGATGAAACACGATGCTTTTGGCTTTGACTTTTCTGTCTTTGATGTCTACCTTGTTGCCACAGAGGACGATGGGAATGTTCTCGCAGACCCGCACCAGGTCGCGATGCCAGTTGGGCACGTTCTTGTAGGTGACCCGAGAGGTGACGTCGAACATGATGATYGCACACTGAGCTGTGGAGGAAGCAGGTAAACGTTAACGGGGCTGCTGCAGGAAGGAGGAGACTGAACACTTTGGGTCTGCTGGAGACCGGAGGAGCACCTTGGATATAGTAGCCATCTCTCAGCCCTCCAAACTTCTCTTGACCGGCCGTGTCCCACACGTTGTACTTGATGGGTCCTCTGTTGGTGTGGAACATCAGCGGGTGAACTTCTACTCCAAGAGTAGCTAAAAAACAAAAAAATAAGATGGTTTAAGAAAAGAAACAATAACTCCGGCTTTTATTGTAAGGATTAATAATGTGGAAATAATTAAAACAGATTTTAGAAATTATGCCAAAATAAAATTTAATTATCTTAAAGTTTAAGAGATCATATTAGGTTTTTGCATTATATTTAAATTTTCCAAATAAAAATGTATTTAGTTACAAATAACAATAAACTGAAAGATTCAATGAACTCTACTGGTTTATATTAAACGTTAAAAGAATCGTCAAATTCTAGTCCAACATATTTTGGTCAAAATATAAAAGTATGTGTACATCTAGAAGAAATGAGGATTTGTGGCAGAAAAAAAATGTACTTTTTACTTAACATTACAAGTTTGCCTAATGTCTGCATCAGATCAACATTATTTACTCCCTGTACAGGTATCACAGATTGTATTACAGTAAATTAAAAGGATTTTAAAAAAGGTATCTGTAAGAGCAGTCACTGCTTTCASTGAAGTTACTGGTGCATTCTGGGTTATGCAGAACATGATAATTTGTAAATAATAATAATAATAATAATAATAATAATAATAATAATAATTTGTAGATGAAGACATTTTACTTTCATAGAACCAAAATTATACATTTGCCAGATCATCTCTCATGAACGCAACAATTCTGTGGTGAGAGGGGAAGTCATCTGCACTAGGATTGGGCAATATTGGCAAAAAATTAATCACAATTAATTATGGTATTTAGCTGATAACAATTAATTTGACAATTAATCCCCTGGAGTCCCTGGACACCCTCATGTCCTGGTCACATGGCCAATTTAGTGGGAAAGATTTGCTCTTCATTAATATCTGTTCCAAATTGTGTCAAAATTACAGACTTCAGGCTGTACATCTAATCTTAAATTGTGTTGATAAATAAATAAATTACAGAACTTTTTTTTGTTCATCATATTTGAAGCAGAGAGGATCACCGAGCATACTCTGCCCGGTGGTATCAATCGTCAAGTGCTAAAAAAATAACAATCGACTAATGTTTTTCWGACGATTAATTGCACACGATACGATTATGCCCAACCCTAATCTGCACATCAGTTTAGCTCACAGAGTGCCTTGCGCAGTTTWAAGTGCAGAAATGACCACTCAAATTTTGAATTTGTAAGCAAAAAATGAATAAAAAGCTCCMAGAACAAAATGAAATACCAACTGCTTGTTGTTCTTTATGTTTTGGGAGAATTTCCCACAGAAGTGAAATTCAAATCCAATAATTTCCTTGTGTTCTGCCTAGAAAACATTTATCCATCTTCAAGTCCTAAACTAAAAGTAATTACTGGCGAGAGACACGTTAGGTTCTATTAAGAACCGTTTCAGCTCATAATAACTCTACAGATTGTTTTAATAACTTGGTGTTGACACACTGTATAAAATAAATAGTTATAAGCTTAGAACTCTGCAACAGAAAAATCTAGTTACCTTGTTTTTAAACACTTGGACATCGTTTTATGAACTTTGATTATGTCTTTCCAGGCATCGCTGAGAACATTTTACTCAAAGCTTTTAATTGATGTTTGGATGATGCTCAGATACTCACCTACATACTTCTTCTCAAACTCTCCTGTAATGTGCCTCTTCACAAAAGTCGTTTTTCCTGTGCCTCCATCTCCAACCAGTACCAACTGTGAGGGGAAATCAACATTATTATTTTTAATTTTTCAGACTGGTTGGTACTGGGCTCACCACCGTCACATCAGCTACATTTGATTCACAAATAATTTTAAGACTTGAAGCCAAGCCTTACCTTGAACACCGCCACAGGCACACACTGTCCCATTGAGTCAGCCATGGTTGCGACTTTTCTGGGTTAAAAACAAGGCGGGATACTCGAGTTAGTGACTCCTGTTATCTTTCAGACAGGGTTGTATTACCCTTAGCGATATCCTAATTTGGCTTTATTGAAAGGATGTTTAAGACGAGGGTCTTTTAAGGTTTAAGTTTGCTGCTAATGAATCAGCCTATTCCAGAGCTACTTCTAGCATGTTCGATCCCAGCCGACGTTCAGAGGCGTCAACTTAAAACGTTACTTTAACCATTTAATGCTTAAATAACACAGCGAATAACACAAAATACTACACTATGGTGCGCCTGATTTAAGGTGAACAGAGCGAAGTTGACTCTGAAACCTCAACAATGGCGGCTACCAGCTAGCCTTCGAGCTAACAAGCGTTAGTTTAGTGCGCCATATGACGCGCGAGCGCACTTTTTCTGGCTCGGGTGGAACAATTACTGTCTGAGCAGCTAATGCGTTCCACGCTGCTGCAGCTAAAATTGCTGCTTGATCAAAATACAGACCCCGTGGATAACTGGCTGCGAATTCRCGAACTTATAATATAAACCGCCGTAACAAATACAAGAAACAAGTGACGTACGAACAGGTTTTAAGAACAAAGCAGTGAAATCGTTAGCTATGCTAGCTAACCTAGCACGGCATGGAAGCCATTCTTTTCCAACGAGCTAACGGCAGAGCTAACAGCTAGCCTAGCCAACAGCTCAAAAAAATGTGATAGCCCAACGTTCTCGTTGTTTGTGGCAATCGCCCCGCGAAACCCACATGAGCCCACCACGTAAACAAAAGTTTTCTACTGTTCTGAGTGACTTTTAAAGCTAAAACAAAGTTGAAAATGCGGACGGCCCAGTTTAAGAGAGAAAAGTAGCGACTCACCGGTGTCAATGCGAACAGACGAAAGAGTAAATGGCTGCGTTCGCGGGAGATTCAGCGTGAACTATGAGTCAGTTTCCGCCCTGATCACGTGACCTCCGCAGCGGCAAAGGAAATGCATGCTAARGACATTTGCATTTCCTACCTACAAAAATGCAATACAATCACAATTTTACTCCACATAACTCACCAATCTGGAACAATCGCTACATTACTGTTAAAAACAAATCAATATTTAATAAGGATTGGATGGAAAAAGGGATTTGGTCTGTGTTATATTTAGTTTGTTATTATAATATGATGCTCTGTGTCAACAGCATAATCTAAAAACAAATAAAAAAACATATAAACTCATAATCAAAGCCATTCCAAAAGCTGTCTTATGTTTAATTGCAGGTTCATTGACTTATTCACCTATTGTTCCATGTTTACCACAATTATTAATTGGAAATTACTCTTTCAAAGATTCCAAGTTTTCCAATAAAATTATTCGACACACTTTCAATTGTATTATTTATCCCACCCTGCCATTTAAAAATTCCATTCGTCAAAATTTTCCACCACAATCAATCCATAAATTACGCACTAAATACCTCAAATTTCTAGTTGCACCAAGAGCCGAAGAAATCCACTTTAAAACTTTAAATGGAATATATCCATCTAATTATTTTATTCATCAGAGGTTTGGTATTGAAACAAATAATTGTGCTTTTTGTGATGATACTGAAACAACAGAACATTTATTCTTTCAATCCATGAATGTTGAAACATTATGGTCTATGTTTGACTGGTTATTTCACAAAGTTCCCAGTCTCCAAATGTTCTCTGAAAACAATATAATTTATGGACTTATTATGGACAATAACAACAGTGACTTTCTCATCAACACTATTATCATTCTGGGGAAATTTTTCATCCATAGAGCTAAATATCTTAAGGTTAAACCAAATTTCTATCATTTTCACAATGACTTTATTTTGTACTGCAATTCTCTTAAAGTGATGCAGACTAAACATGCCCACAATCTGTGCTCTTTAATTGAAGAGTATGATTTAACATCTAAACCCTAGCCTTTTTTGTTCCTTCTTATTTTTAAACTTCTTATCTTCATTTGCACCCATCCTTTTCTCTTATATGCAAGTTTGTTTGTTTTTTTGAAATACGCCTTATTGTTTGTACATTGTATTATTTTGTGTGTTCTTTGTTGTTTAATTAAAAAAAACCTACAAAAATGCATCTAAATGATTATGGCTGAAATCTGTCAATGCTAAGCATAGCTAAAGGCTAGCTGAAAGTAGCTACAAAAGATAATAAGTACAAAATAAATGGCTGAAATAGATAAAGATAATTTAGGGAGGCATCACTTCAAACCCTGTGGGGTAGTTTAGTATTTACTATAACTCCTAGTTTCTGGTTAATTTAAATGTTACAACAGAAAAATGGTACTGCCAGGAAAAAAACATCCAAATAAAGATTCTACCCGTTCTGTGGGATTATTCTATCTATGAATCCTGAAACGCTTAATAATCCTTTCTTTAACTAATCTAGTTGGCCTAATRTAGATTTTCTTCTCCAAAATAACATTATCTCAAAGCACAGTCTGTGTTTGTGAGAAAAGATCATTTTAAAGAATCAAAAATTAAAATACTTCAAGCATGACATTAAACAGTGCTTGACCTTAAAGGATAGCCAAGACCATCATCTTTAAAATAGTTTGAAAAATTATTATGACCAGAAACTTCAGTCGAATTTACAGTACAGGTTACATAACTAAACAGTTGCAAAGAAAAGAAACACTCACTACTGAAAATGAATAAATAAATAGCTAAATTAAAAGACTTGTTTTTCTTGTAGGAATGCCGCCCACTGGATGTCAGGGATTTTAATTTATGTTGAAATTACGGTTTTTAATACGGATTTGATCATGTTAGAAAAATACAGGACTTTGCCAAGCTTTAGCTTTAACTCAATAGGCCATCTGCCCTGTACATTAAACATGACCTCTGAAGAGCAGTCAGTGGTGGATCTCAGGTCAGCTGGCAGCTCCTGAACGTTGACGTCTGCCAGCAAAGAAAAAAAAACATACAGTTAGATAATCTGTTAAATGTGGTCACTCTTCCAAAGATGTAATTATCGTCCTCCGCCAAATACAGATGGAAATGTTTTTGTTTGCTACAAAAACACTCCAGGAATCAGAGGACAAATTTGAATGAAACTCTCAGAAAAATCAAAAAACACACATCAGTTGAATTACCCTGATTCAAGATGACCACCAYAGCCACTTGGCTCGAAAAACAACACAARGAATGTCTATGACTTGTTTGATTWYTCAAAAACTGAGCTAAATTKTGTTGTGTTAGTAGCCGAGTGATCTCAAACAGATAAATACATCACACTTAGAACATGAACCACTGGTCAGATTTCAATGAAACGCTTAGATAATCCTTATACCTAACTTTGAACCCAACCRTGTTCAAGTTACAAACCACAGAAAACACAACATCTCTGTTATTCAGTCAGTTTTACATATATAAAGTTATTTGACATAATAATGGCTCAACATTAAGTTTGAAACTCTGAGATGAAAGGAGAGGGGCGATATGCATTCCTTCAGAGGATGCAGGTCTTTCATTGATCCAAAAATGTAGAAGATTACTTTGCTCATAGCCATATATCTGACTGTTTATTAACCTTTACATGCTTGAAAACTGTGCAGCTGACATCTGAACAGAGGCGATCAGAAAGTAGATCCAAACACACAACATAAAAGTCTACAGACCCACAAAGCTTTAAAATCAGACGTGAATCCGGCGCCACAAATCCATCATTACATCAAAGACGTGTTGCGTTTAAAGACCAYGGGAACAGTGGGAAACCCGGATTGCGTGTCAGATATCAACCTGTTTCTCAATTAAAAGGTTGTGTTTACGGAGAAATATCAAACCTACCTTGTACTTTTTCAAGTAAACAAAAAAATGAATCTACAACTGAACGATTTAAAAACTTTTGAGTGTCAAAATGGACGGAAATATAGTTTAGTATACTTTCTGTCATCAAGCAGTAGTAAACCARTATTGGTAGTGAAACTATGTCAAACTAAGCCAACATTACATTGTAACCCCCTTTCGTGACTGCAGTGGTGTTTTAATATTAGCAAGGAGGTAGAAGTTTATGGAAGCCCATTTCCGCCACCCTGATAAAAAATAAATAAAACTTGTATCTCATAATTATGACTTGTCTATCTCATAATTATGACTTAGCTATCTCATAATTATGAGATAGTAAATTATGACTTAGCTATCTCATAATTATGACTTAGCTATCTCATAATTAYGAGATAATATCTCATAATTATGAAATAGCTATCTCATAATTATGACTTAGCTATCTCATAATTATGACTTAGCTATCTCATTATTATGAGATACTATCTCATAATTATGACTTAGTATCTCATAATTATGAGATAGATAAGTCATAATCATGAGATACAAGTTTTATTTTTTTTATCAGRGTGGYGKAAATGGGCTTCCATATAAAGTTAGTTAAACTACAGAGAAGAAGCCCCAAAGRGGTTTTTGTAACTTCCTGTAAGCGGCCAGTTTCACTGATGCTGCTGAACTCGTCCTTAAGATAACCGTCAGCTCCGCGAGAAAAAGTTCACGAAACAAATATTTGTTTTAATAAAACGCGTCAGCTTATTTAAATGAAACATATTATTAAATGTCAAACTGTAACATTTGCTAACACATCGCTCGCTTACGTCATTAGCTGTCAATGGTGTAATTTGTACATCTCAAAGACGTTTACACTGTCCCTGAACTGMGCAGTTGTGTTCAAAGTGCCTCGTTAAGTCCAGCTTCTAACTTGAACCCAACTTTTAAACACAGAATTTACGACATAGTAATTGGAGAAATAGCCTCAGTTACCTCATWTTATGTTTGCTGAATCATATTTGAGTATCACTTCCTCAACTATTWATGGTCTGTATTTCAAAAATAGTTATTATAGAAAAAAGGTGATTCATCTCACTGGTGGTAACATTTACAGAGAAGGGCGGTGTGTATGGGTGTGTATGTGAACAAGAGAAAGCAAATGAGCTAGAAAGAGAGAGGAAGTTTGTCTTCCTCTTCCATCACCGCTGGGTCTCACACTTCACCTCTACGGCAATCAGAAATAAAGGAAATGTAAAAGGTATTTGCTATTTAATGCATATTTTTATGGCATTAGCTATGGAACAAATTTGATTTGCAGGAAATTGACTCGTTAATGCTAAAAAACAAACAAGCAAAAGGCAGATAACAAACCTCAAACGCGTGTAGCAGAGAAGACTCATGCACTGAGCAGCTAACTACTACTTTCTGTGGGTGGATTTAGAAGTGAATATTGTAATTATGAGTGCACAGTTACCCAGAGCCAAAATGTCTTTCTTCTGTCTCAGTGACATGTCCAAAATGTCGAGTGAAGCCCAGAGGACTCAAAGTGAAGAGGACAGCTCTGGATCTGATTTAGGGTCAGAGGTCAGTCTAGAACCAGAGACAGACCGCTTCGGCTTCATTCTGACCAATGGATCCACAGCAGAGTGAGTACATCAGAACCAGAACACACAGCTTTGGTGTCCTCTTTCATTGAAACCTTTATTTTCTAGAGGTTAACTAAACTAGACTGTTTGTCAACTTAATTAAACAGAGAAAACTCAGTTTAATTAGAAATTAATTGTGTTCTGGTACRAGCTCCTGCAGGATTTCATACGTTCACGCTGGGAATATGTTTTTGAGGAYGACTCTCAGCTACTACCACAACAAACTTCACGCCAGTATCTGTAAATTTGACCGAGTTATAACCATTTTGTGTTGGCTAGCTGTGGCGGCCATCTTGAATCGTGTTGACTTCAAAAGTTAATCTGCATCTAATGATTACATTATGAATATTTTGTTTTAAAAGGTTCGTCCTGTGATGAGATATGTTGCTAACAGGGCGATAAATGTCTGAATGAGTTTTCCTCACGCCATGTTTTGACTGCTTAACAAATTACAGTTGGATGCTAGCCTGTTTATTTGGGAGATGACAAATACAGAGTCTAGAGGAGAACTCGTGTCTATCAGGACGTTCTAAAGAGACCACGTGTCTGAAGGGCTCAGTTTTAATGTGAGAAACATTCACATTCAAATCAACTCATTGTGTACATGACAGCCAACGCTGAAACTGTAATCAAGAAGCAGCATCAAATCGAACGACTCCCTGCTGTCTACACTCGCCCCCCCATTGATAACATCCTGACCTGTTGCCATGGAGATGTCACACTGCTAACCGTGTGGTTTTCCTGTTTCCTGTCTTGTTTTTCTGAGCTCTGCAGAGATGGCAACAGGTCGACGCTGCAGTCTCGGTTAAAAGGCCTGAAGTGACATGGCTTTGTTGGGTTTTAAGAAAAACACAAAGTGGTTAAAAAAAGGTAATAATCTATGTGTGTGTGTGTGTGTGTGTGTGTGTGTGTGTGTGTGTGTGTGTGTG